AATAGCTCAAAAATAAAAAATCATCCCAATATTTAGCAAATTGGCTATGAATAAACGTAACCGTTCGCATCCCTAACCATTATTAACATGTTATATAACAAATTCGAAGTAACGGTTATCTGCCATTCCTAGAAATGTTAATCGGTCCCACAGCAATTGTGAGCCGATTTTGAGCAAGTTTTGTAAAAATTGGCATTTTAATCGGCCTTCGGTCAATAAGTAAAGTTACAGAAAGTTTATTTTTTTTAATAATATAAACTTATGGATTTTTGTATTAGTTTAGATGGACCGATTAGGGACCGAACAGTGTGAAGAAATTTAATCGATCGGTCTTTAATCGGTCCCATTAAATTATTCAAGACCGGTTAAAAATGCCAATTTTTTACAGAACTTACTCAAAATCGGCTAACAATTGCTGCGGGACCGATTAACATCCCTAGTGTATAATAAATGACCGAACACATACATTTTTCCTGCAAACCACTTGCCATATAATGTAAAACAACCAGCCACTTGAAACATTGCTAAGAAAGTGTCTTCATTAAAAACCTTCTGAAGAGCATCGAATAGTTGTTTCGGTGTTATGCCTTTTCCGTCATGAGGCCTATTTTAAATCTTATTTAATCAGTAAGTTTATACAATAATAGCACTTGCCTAATAAGTTATAACTTACAAATAACCATGATTAGCCATAGCATTTAGAGCGGGGCAAGGAGATCTAGCATCCCCCTCTTTGGGAGCCTGCCATCCGTAAGACATAATAATGAGTTTAAATGAACCAAAGTTTTACGGTAGGACGTACTGTACGTACGTATGTACGTATATTTTATTAATGTGTGAGTCTGCGTAATGATGCAAACATCTCTCATTACGGCTATGACGTAAAGGCCGTACTACCCGAGGTTATATTGCCGTGAAGTAGATGCCGTGAGTGAGGTAGTATGTCATAAAGCTTTACTACCCCAAAAATTTCACTGACCAATCAAATTTTGAAATCAGGTATAACATAGATGCACTATTAAAATAAGTCAAAATTTCAAAGCTTAAATATATGAGCTTTGCTTTATACAAATCGCAGAAATTATTTTGGTTCATGGCTTTTATCATAACTAGTTTCAAATAAACTGAAATAGTTTCGACAATGTGTATAACCATTCGACAAAAAATACCTTTATTAATCAGAATATCAGCTTTAGAAGCTTTAGGTTTCATCTTTCATCAGGGGTTTCACTTAACAATTTATAAAGATGAAAAGTATTTATGAATAAGTATTTACGAATTATGATTTGTTGTTTTTTATTCCACTGATTTATAAATTATCTTTATACACACACACCAAATTTAAGCAAATAAATGATTTGAAAGACATCCGCATTATACAAATACATAAATATGTACGTACGTACCAATAAAATAAACAATATATCGAAAGTTATATGGCACACGTCATTTATACTACTTACAGCATTTATACAGTATGTGGCACTTCTACTTATATGGCAAAGGTGCCGTATCGCTATGAAATTTTTGCCGGGTTAGCTACCCAAGATTTTAAATGTCTGCATCATTAGTTGTAACTACACTGGGATTTTCTATCATATTTAAGCTTTTATTAGTTATATCTACAAAATCTAGATAATAGAGGGTGTAGCGACTTAGTGAAGTGGTGAAGTTGTCGCACCTCCAAGCGGTAGAGTATAAGTTCAATTCCCACGAAAGGCGAAAAATTAAATTTAGAAAAACGGATTCGGCAACTATCGTCGTGGCTGGGAAAACTCGAGACCCTGTAACTGTGGTCGTACCAAGATAAAAATTAGAAGGTTCTGGAGTATTTGTGTAATAAAGGAGTTACACAAAGGCATGCAAGCCAGTTTAGTTAGTGCAAACCTAAGATAAGTCCTTTGGAATCGCAAAAAGCCACAGAGCCAATACGGCGGTGGGGCGCTCGCTTGGGAAGTCCTGAGTAGAGAGGTAGCACAGATCTTCGACGATACTACATGCAGATTACTACCTGGGGAACCGAATAAACTGAACGGGACCAAAGTGTTCGGCAAGGCACTCCACCAACCAGGCTGCCAGAAGAGTAACCAGAGGAAAAGGACCCAATCATGGAGACCAGGGGGCAGGTCACAGCCCTTTTGGGCTATCTGGATTGGTAGTTTGGAATTGATGGGATGACTGGGAAAAGTCTGTAGGTATACTGGGATTTGAGTGAACCCTATAAGGGCAGTAGTAGGTAAGGTAGCGGCTTCAGCTCGCAAGTACTTGGTTTCGGCCTAGGCGTAAGTTACCAAAAAAGACTAGGTAATATGGAAATAGTGGGTACCGGACTGCTCTAGCAGGTGATGCACTCGAGGATGAATCGGTTAACTATGCCGGTAGTCCTATAGGTGGACACGATAATCTCAAAACTTGGACTGACTTATGTATCGCATATTCTGGGTGAGGTTAAATAGATTGACATAGGAAACTCCGATCAGAGGGTTTAATTAGGTAGCTTAAGTAATAGTGGGTTACAGTTATGGAGTAATAGTGGGTTACAGGTATGGCATCTAGTGTAGCACCTAGTACATAGGTAGTATACTTAATTAGGCACTCAAAA